TGAACTGTTTTTTCTTAGTTAGAAGAAAATATAGTTGATAGATGGATGATACATATGGCCACAACAGTGATTTTGAGTTCCCCTATTTTTCTCTATACTTTCGTATGACCTGTTTCTTTTTAATCTTATATACTTTTTACAATAATACATTTCTGAAATTTCCTTGATCATGCATTTGTTTGCAGAATCAGAGATGGCTTGAATAGGCATCATTATATAGTATGGCTGAGGTTTTCAAAATATTATGGTGTAGTTTCTCTATTCAAATAGGAATTTAATATGGAGAAACTACTTAGATTATTATTTGGCTACTTTAATCTTAAGGCTGCAAGAAGTATCACTTCTAAAAAAGTTTTTAGATGAATTAATAAATTTTCATTTAATACTGTCTTTTGGATTCTGAAAAGAAAGGATACAATCTGCTTGTGTGATTCTGATACAGGACTTTATATTTTTTATTGGTTCCAATATTGATCGAATAGAATAGAATATTCTCTATTAGCCAAATGTGATTAGACACACACAAGGAATTGCAAGTACATTAAAAACAATGTGTTATCTATCTAAATTGTTTTCAAAGAACATCATAAAATGAACACTACAAAATACAAAACGTGAAGCTCTTTATATTGATGTACCATGGGCATCTTTACATTAGTCCTCAAAATTATGAAATAACTACTAATTCATATTTGAATTTATACGCTCATGTTAAAACAATACATTCCACATTTGTCTAAGTACAGTTGAATCGAGTTGTAATATTTTGCAATAAACCAGAATATGAAGTATATAGGAAATCTGCAAAAGGAAAACAAATTTAGTGTAACATACTAATATATACCATGTAGATAATCTTTTAATCCTACTTATTATGCATGTTTATTAAAGGGTTATATAAAATGTGTGGTTATTTTCTCATGCATAAGCAAAATGTCTCTAATTAATTGCTATGAACGCTTCAGATCAATAGAACATATTTGTTATTTCTGAGACTTTGTAAATTTTATTCGTTTTGCTCTCTTACTAAGAGAAGGGGTGCCATCTATTGACTCATTGTGGTTACCACAGTCAAAATCATATTACCAATAACAATGGCTAAATAAAGTAGCTGATAGTTATGGATTGCCTTTATCCTTTTTCTGACAATTTTGGCATACCAAAAGTCTTGGTGACATTTTCAGAGTGCTGCCAGAATGAAAAGTGAAATAAGAGATTTGGAAAGCATGATACTGTAAATGAATACATATAGTTTTTAACAAACACATACTATAAATCATATCCTTTTTTATATTATGCATATTAAACATAAGCTCAGATTATTTCATAAATAGCGATGTGCTATTTTCAGGATTTTCTACGACTCATAAAATATGTACCCTTCAGCCTACATTAACACATTTTTTACATGTGAGTTGCAAATCTATCCACACTGCATTTTCCATTAAGTAGGTAAGATCCCTACCCATTTCATCTGGCTTAGAAGCACCTTACTTTCCCTGGTCTTCTTGACTTCCTATATATCATACTAACATTAAGGAAAACATATGACAGTTTTAGATGGATTTTATATTGATGAAAGATGAGTCCCTATGGTCTTATCAATGCAGAGAACTGTTGGCCTTGAGTACACATTGTTTGGGATTCAGAAGGGTGTATATGCAACAGAAAGGTGATGGCTGATTCTCCCTTCCACTAGCTGCCCTTAAGGCTTGCAAAAAGAATGGAGAAGGATGCTGTCTAGGAACCATGGGAGGCTGCTGACAAAAGATGAAGATTAGAACCATGTATGTACGTATGATGCTGTGGAAACGAATCATAATAGCACCATTACAATATATATCCTCCTAATTGAACGTTCTACTTCTTCAACTAGTAGAGCATCCTGGAAAATCAGTGATGATTATATACCAGTCGCTCTAGCTTGCTTTGTGCTTTCTGACTACTTTTTTTATTCATATACTTACAGATTGTCTTTTGATCATAATATTTTCAAGAAGATGTATGGGAGGGACAGTAATATAATTTAAGCTGTGAACAAAGACTGCTTTCTTTCATTCAGAGTTGTCCACAGTGATCCAAAATAGCAATATTCAGCTTTATTTTAATTATAATACAATTATAATTGTCAGGTTAAACAGCTTTAATAATGTGATGTTTTCAAAATTGTATTATTTTTTTCCACTAAAGTCTTATGTTGATTTATTAAAAAATGCCAGCCATACTGTGTTGGGTAGGATATCTTAGAATAAAACATGTATTGTGTCTTCATTGGAATTAATCATGATCAAAATATATTTAATTGAGATTTCACATGTACAGCAGGTGTCATATAAAGCAAGGTAAATCTTATAAAATTATGTTTATATGTTATATCAATCCTTTTCGAGGAAAGAGATTATCATCCATTTTAAAATAGCAAAGAGTATAATTTATAGATTACATACAAAATTGCATATGCAATAAGAATTGGTTTGGTTTAAAATCCTTTAGAGTAAAACGAATTTCAAGCAAAAACAAAGCTTTATCAGCATATGAACCTCTTTCTATTTTACTTGTGATGCTTTTCTTTATATTTAAAGCTATTTGGCAATGGATGATTTTTTTTCCAGGGGATTATGATTTTTTCTGTTACCGTGTTTTGTGCATGCACTTTCCCCATGATGACCACCAACACGTCATCACAATTTGCTACTGGACACTGTCATATAACAAGCTTTAAATTCATATTTCTGTTCATATATTAATATTAAAAGAGAACATAGAATTTCTAATTTAATAGACATATTTGAAATACATGATATTACAAACATGGTTTGCTTGTTTAATTTAAATGTAGATTTTTGGACTTTTACACAATTTTCTTTCAGTCTTCAAGCTAATCTCAGAAATAAGTTCCAAAGAAAAAGACTGAATGACATTACAAGTAAATGTGCCCAGCTTTGTTGTACTGAGAACTCTTCAGTTTTATTGTTTAGAATTTAACTTCAAAATGCTACCCTACAAAATTGAAAATATTTACCTCAATATTCTTGGGGATTGGATGAATGTGGAACTCATTTGAAATGATTACTAACTTCCATTGATGTTTGTGAAAGAAAAACTTCAGTAATAATAAGATTGGCAGTTAAGAGATACTTTATGTTGAAAATAAAACAATAAATCCTGACTTATTATTTAACCAAAGTGTGTAAATAAATTATAATAGAAAAGATTTGGTAGAGAACATATGGTAATTTTTTCTTTATTTTCTAGGAAACATTGCCTTGCATTTTAAAAATTTTCATTGAAAATGATTAAATATTTTGATATTATCAGAATTTCTTTAGTTACGTTGTACATAAATATATAATAATATCAAATTAATTTCTTAATTCAATCATTAATCCTTTTTTTGCTAGATTAGAACACTGCTAGAGTACATATTGAAATAGTTTTATCTTCCCAAATAAGTAAAAGTACATTATCTGGTGTGTAACAACAACACCGCTTTCCTACCTCCAATAATGGCAATACCATAATGAGATGGAATGGCAGCAGTATTTACTTTTAGTGCTGCTTTAGATATTACAGCTGTAATTCTGTGTGCATTATTTGGGGAGTAAGTTTCATTTGAATTCAGCAGAACGTGTCACTTAACATGCATGCACTCAACAAATGTTTCCAACATGCCAAGATGCTAGTCTTCTATATAAGGCACTTGATAAATTAATAATTCTTATTACATTGAAAATTGAGCTGTCATTTATATGTTGGATTGAGTAAAATGTAAAATAAGTTGGTTAAAAAAAAAAAGATTTTCCCTAACACAAGACAGCAAACATACATTATACTCCTTCCTTCCCTATTTTCCCCATAATAAGAGTTCTGTGAGATGGGTTGGGTTGGGAGAGAGAGTGACTGATCCAAAGTCACCCAACCGGTTTTCATGCCTGAACCAGCACTAGAACTCACAGTTTCCTGGTTTCTAGCCTGATGCCTTAACCACTACACCAAACTGGCTATTAATATTATTACAAGTGTTTGAAGTGTTTAATGTATTTAAATATTTACAGAAAGTCACTATTAGAAGAGAAAATATTCTGTACATGTTAACATTCCAAAAGCAGATTTTAAGATTACGGTAGGTTGTGGGGTGAAAGGGGAGGGAAGGTATCCCTTAATTGGATACATTGGGGAAATTTTCATATTTATTATTTATTTTTGCTTGTTGGTCACTTGTTTCTAAGGATTGGTATACGGTACCACTAACATCCCTTCATGTGTCAAATGTAGTTGCTGACTACAAAAGCTCCTAATAATAATAATAGCAGCAGCAACAATAACAACAACCATGTTTTTTTCTATTTTTAATTTGTTTTGTTTACAATGGACTTAGAAATATTTGCTTCCTTTT